AGGCAAGATGCTCAAAGCACTTGCGATGGTGATTGAGCCCTCGTTGGGTATATTTGTATTTCCAGCTCTGTTTGATGGGCAAAAAAGCTGAGGGTCAGCATTTTCCTACGTACTCCCATGGCCCTTCGTAGCTGAGCCCAGCCTGGACGGAGCCCAGCAGCAGAATCATGCCTGGAGGCGTAGGAAAGGCTGAGCCTCCGCGGAGAGGAGGCAGGTGCAGGCACACGGCGTGCTCGGGACACTGACGGCTTGCATCGAACGTGACACGACTTCACCCCGCTATGGAGAGACGCACGCACCCCTCCTGAAAAATCTGGCCTTTTGGGGAGGAAAAAGATATTTTCAAGTTCACAGCCTATGAAAGGTGGGGCAGCTAAAAGACCACTGGCAAACGAGAGAAATTAGAATTTTGTTCACAAGAACCAAGCAAAAAAAATATTTAATAAATAATAATAATGATGAAATTCCAGGAGAAGATGCCTGAGAAACCCTGGTTTGGCTCTGTCCAGGCGGGACCTGGCCGTTTGCTTCCAGGTTAGAGACACCAATAAATAAAGCTGGGCTTGCAGCGTGGGCATAGACCTTCACTCGTGTCTGTGTGACGCTTGTGATTTCAGGGAGCGCTCCTAAAATCAGTGGTGGATACACAAAAAAATCAGATTTCTCATGAAAACACATTCACAAAAATATAAATACGGATCTGGGGTCAGCCGCAGGGTTCCTCCCTGCGGAAATGCAACCATTCTCTGCCTGCTGTAAAGCAGTTGGTCACGCCTGTTACGGAGGTGCTGTTCTCTTAAGCCGCAGGCAGAGCCCTCCGTCCCCGTGCTGGTGCCTGCACCCCGGGGCTGTGTCTGCGAGGGCACGAGCCCGAGACAAAGCAGACCTCATCGGGCACCTCCAGGAGAAAAATCCCCGCGCTCCTCGCCCCTTTCCACCTCCTCTTCCTCGAGCATCTTCTGGACCGGGGGTGTCTCGAACACCTCCCTCGGTATTCAGCACAAGTGGGGAAATGCTGAATCCAGAGCCAAAAATGGTGAAAATTGGAAAAAATTCCACCAGCTCTGGCCACCCCACAGAGGTGCCAAGGCTGTGAGGTGCCGGGCTCGGCCACAAGAAGCCTCAGCTCCATCGCACACAAGGCTGCCGCTCCCTCGCAGGCCGTTAGGTGAAATGTTAATTGTAAGGCACGAATCTAATTACAGGCACCAAAGCCGTTCTCCTCGTGGGGACGGGGCTGAATTCAGAGAGGGGATTGCTACAGGAGAAAAGGCCGGAGGGGATGGCGAGCAGGGAGGAAGGATGGGAAGGGTCGGAAGAGCGCGGAGGGGAAGGGAGAGACTGGCCAGGGGGAAGCCCACGTTTGCACTGTCATCTCCAGAGCCCTCTTCTCTGCCACCAGAGGCATGAAATTCCCATTTCACCCAGCCGAGAGAGGGCAAAAGGCTGTTCACAGCCAGCAGGGTCCCTGGAGGTTCCCAGGTCCAGGCAGCAGGACCAGCCTGCCCTAAGCGTTCAACACCGGCACCCTCGTGCGCACCCGGCTGCGGCATCTCAGCCCCGTGGCCCCTTCCCAGACAAAAATACCAGGTGTGATTTCCCAAACTCATCTTTAAAGGTTTATTCACAGGCGTTTCCCTTCGTGCACGTGGAAGAAGCTCGCTTTGCACCCGTGTGACGACTCGGGTGGATTCCGGACCTTCACCTCCCAAACTTCGCGACGGCGACGCGGGAGCTGGCAGCGGCGCACGGAGCTGTCAAGCGGCTCTCCGACAGCCCCGGTGTCACACAACTGCCTCCCCCAGCATCACACAACTGCCTCCCCGGCCCGGGGAGCCCCGGCACGGCGACGGCAGCGACGTGGGGCTGCTGTGGGCGCCCGCATGCCAGCCTGCTCCGAGGCGTGCTGGCCATCTGCTCCCGCCCGCCGCGGCTGGGGACGTGCCAAGCAGGCACGCCGGCGCCGCGCTCCCCAGCTGCGCCCCCCGTCACGGCCACGCCGCTGCTCGCAGCCCCCCGGGGGGTTTTCCAGAGCCCACCCTCGCCTCCGGCATCGTCCCATGGTGCTGGGTCCTCCCCACGGCTTTGCTGGGCCATTGTAAATCCGACGGACGGGGAATGGGTTTGGGAAGCCCCTCTCCTCACAGCTCTATGGCCTCCCTTCCCTGCTCGTGGCCAGGCTCCACGCTGTCCCCCCCCCAAACCTCCCTCCCACCCCCTGGGTCACTCTGACACCCTGGGGTCAGCCAAAGCGAAGCCTGGACCTCGTCACCCATCCAGGTTTGGACAAGTGCCGGGGTTTGGGATGTTCTGTAACAAACGTCCTCTGCCCCAAATCCACAAATCCCGGGGGTGCAGGTCGAGGAGCCCCCCCAAATGGCTCTGCCCAGCCTGGGGGGCACTGGGGACACTGGCCACCAGCCCCCACCTTCCCCCACGGTCACCCCAGCTCCTTGGGAAATGCCCCAAGGCGCTGCCGAGCCCTGGCCCAGCATCCCCGCTCTTTAATCCATCCCTCCGCAGGTCCCCGACCTCTTCACGAAAGATAAAGAAATGCAAAACATCTGTTTTAATAAATGATTCATCGATTTCTACGGCCCAGCAAGCCAGCCGCTTGCTTAAAGCCGCCCCGTAACACTTTCCACGGGTGTATTTATAACCAAAGGCACAACCCGGCCGCCTCGTGCTCTGTCCTTAACCCTCGGCAGCCTCGTTACCACCGGAGCTCAGGCGGGGAGCGAGGACACGCGACAGAAAACACCGCACCAATTCCTCCTCGGTAAAAAACCCCCCAGCAGCCGCCATCCGGAAGAGCAATCCCTTCTTTTAATTAAAAATAAAACAAACCACTACGCGTCACTCGGCAGGATCCTCGGCACTGGTTTCGCATGAATTTCCAGCCCGCGGGACACTCGGCGCACGGAGCATCGATCGCTGCCACGACGCACCAGCAGCAATTCCCAGGGGTTTTCCAAAACCTCGTCCTCTCCATCAGCACCAGAGCACGGGCATGGTGCTGCGGGACTTGGGAGAGCCCAGCCGGGAGAGAAGAGGCAATTTGGACAAAAAAAAATATATATTTTTTTCCTTTTTTAAAATTATTATTAATTACAGCCACCGTAAATCTCAATAAAGCCAGAAGGGAACAGTGCTCCACAAGGGCTCTGCTCCACGTCCTTGATGTCCCCAACCCCAGGGAAGGTGGTGACGATACCGTCATGGTCACCTCACCTTCAGGGCTGAAATCCTCGCCCCCGGGGGAAGGCTCTGCCGCAGAGCCCAGGCAGAAGTTACCAAACCCGGGAACACCCAGACCAAGCCGTGCGCCGCCCGAGCTCGCAAATATTCATGACTTCTTTTTTTCCTTTTTGCAATCACTCTCATCTGTCCCGATGGCACCGGGTGCTCTGTCAGGCAAGGCGCACAGCGAGAAAGAATTTATTTTGTGGCTGAGAGACACGGGAGGAATATTTTGTGTTGGAGCTCCCAGCGTTCGGACACGCAGGCAGCAAAACCCGTGCGTGCCGTGAGCGGGAAAGGCATTTTTGCAGCAATATTTTCCCCCTTTCCCCCTAATGGGAACAGCTCCGCGTGCTCCAAACAGAGGTATTGGTAAAGCAGAAAACGCACATTATATTGTATCAGAAAGCTATGAGAACCGGTAGCTGAATTTCTATGGACTGACAAGCTGCGCACCCAAACTGGGCAAATTTTTGCCGAAAAAAAATAAAAAAAAGCCGTACTGCGCCGCGGATCTCCCCCTTCCACTCCAGCGGCAGCTAATTCTTCCGCTCTTTTGTAAACATTCGAAAACAAGGTCGCACGCACAAATTCTGCTTTCAATTTTCCTTGTATCCATAGTGATTAAACTCAGCCCCACAATACGGGACTTAAAGGGAACTCGAAGAAGGCGCCGAGCAGGGCTGGCCCCGGTGCTCTCGCCGGCACGCCGAGGGCCGGAGGCGAGGACGCAGCCGACGGGGGCTTCCTCCACCAAAAGCCCCCCTGGGAGCAAAACCCCAGTGCTGAAATCACCGTGCCATCATCATCCTGAGGGACCCAGCCCCAATCTTCACCCTCCCCAAGAAACAGCCAGCCCGGAGGCACCACGAACGCTACGGCTCCAGCAAGGGGACGCGGGGGGATTTGGAGGACACCGCGGCCTCTCCCGGCTGCGCACGGGCCCAGGCGTGAGTTTTGCAGGGAAAGGAGCCCCCAGCCCCACGGCGTGGACGTGGGGGGCTCTGAGGGGGCCCCCAGCAGCTCCCCATGGGGAGCAGGGAATAGCTCAGCCAGCAAGAGCGGGACACAAAAAAAAAAATAAAAAAAATCAGCTGCAGGAGCGGGAAGGCTCGGCAGCCTTCTCCCCATCCCCACTGGGGAGGTTTTTCTATAAAATAAAGATTTTCAAATTCACTTTTTTTTTTTCCTTAAATTCCGATTACCTCCCTACCCGCAGGACACAAATCAGCTCCACGCTTTCTGAAGGGCACCTCCACCCGAATCCCTGCTCCACCGCAGCCCCGCACACAGGGAGAGCCCCAGCCCCAGCGGGGCCCCCCCTGCGCCGTGCCTCAGTTTCCCCACACGGGTGTGGGAGCGATCGCATCGCCCTGCTGGGGGGGGATTAGGGAAATTGCTGCACGTGGGACGGGGCTCGGGCAGGACACGGTGTCCCCCGGCAGATGCTCGGTAGGAAAATAAAGCCGGGGGACGTTGGAAAAGGATTTTCCCTTTGCCTGCGAATTCCTGGTCTCCCGACAAAAGGCTCCTAAATTCCCAAAGGCAACGAAACACCTCCAAAAAAATGGGAAAACCGAGGGGGGGGGGGTTTGAGAAGGAGAAGCAAAACCGGAGATGCCGACACCACGGGGACGGAGAGACCGGGGCTTGGAGCAGCCAAGGGGGGTCCCCGCGCACCCCGCGCTCTCGGCGGTGGGGAGGACCAAAAATTTGGGGTGTCGGGGCTGGGATGGGGGGGGAGGGGGGGGAGCACTCACTTCTCGTAGTCCAGCTTGCAGTAGAGCTTCTTGTCGCGGTAGAAGCAGGTGGTGTGCAGGGGCTCCTTGCACGACGCGCACTGCACGCACTGCTCGTGCCACAGGCTGTCGTTGAGGCGCAGCAGGAACCGGTCCGAAATGACCCGCTGGCACCCCTCGCACACCGAGCGGGGGGGCACGGCCCTGCCTGCGGGGAAGGAGCCGGGGGGGGCAGCGTTGGTCCGGGGGGGGAAAGGCTGGGGAAAGCCCCTGTCGCCGCCGCCGCCACCCCCGGGGATGGGCATCAGGGGGAAGGCAGGGCAGGGGGGTCGGGGGGGTCCCTATGGGTGAGGGGGGGGTACGGGGAGCTGCTCCCGGTCCCGGGGGATCTCCCGTGCTCGGGGGGAGCCGCGGGGGGGGGGCGAGGGCCCCGATTTCGTTCCTCTCGGGATGGATGCGGCTGGCGGAGGTGGCGGTGCCGGGGAGCGGCGTGAAAACGAAGGGAGAAGAAACGAGGGGAAATCACCGCCGGGAGGGGCGGGGGGGAAACCTCGGGGTCGGGAGGGGCTCGGGGGGGCCGCGGGGAAAGGCTTTGGGGCGAGCGCGGAACGAAGCGGGGGCTGCTCCCCTGGCGGACACCCCCCCCCCCTCCCCATCATCATCATCATCTCATCATCATCCCGGCGGGGCCAAGAAGCTTTGGGGGGGGCTCCCCGACTTACCCAGCAGCGAGGGGAAGGGGGCGTTGGGCTCCAGGGCGCTCTGCAAAGTCTCCTCCATCTTCAGCCCGTCCAGCATTTTGGGGAGCCGGGCCGGCCGGGGGGGGGGGGGGGCGCCTGCCGACACAGCCCCGCCACGCAGCGCTCAGCCCCCGGCAGCGGCTCCCGGGGGCACCCCGAGCCCCGTTATCCCCGGTCCCCCCCCCCCCACCTCCTCGTACAGCCGCCCCCCTCGGGAGGATGCGGGGCAGCCGTCGGGGGGCTGCTGCCTTTGGGGGGGGGGGGGGAAAAGGGGCTCGGCCGCTTACCTGCGGAGCCTTCGTCCCCCGGGGAGCCCGAGGAAGAGGAGCCCTCGGGGGGGAACCCCCTGATCCTCAAGCAGCGGCTCTAAAAGGGGGGGCCCTGCCGCCTGCTGCCCCCTTCCTCCTCCTCCTCCTTCCTCCTCCTCCTCCTCCTCCTCCTCCTCCTCCAGGGGTGCCGGGGGAGCCGCTGCGCCCTTGGCCGGCTCCGGAGCGGAGCGCAGCGACCTGCGGGGAAGCGCCCGTCCGACTGCTGCCAAGACACATTTCCTGGAGCTGATACCTCCCTGCCCGACCCCCACCCCCTGCCCTCCCCTCTCCACCCCACTCGAAATAAGTTTCCTCCCCGCTCTCCTGCCTTGCGCGCACCGGCCCCGCCACGCCTCGAGGGGCGACCCCAAAAGAAGAAGAAGAAGAGGTTGGGGGGGGGGAGGGAAAGGAAAAAAAAAAAAAAAAGGGAAAAATAAAAATAAAATGAAAGGGGGAGGGTGGTGCCCCGCCACCGCGGCTCTCCCGGTGCCGTACGAGGCTGGAAATCGGCTCCCGGTCCCGCAGGAGCCCGGGGTGGGTTTTTTTGGGGAAGCCCCGGAGGGATGCGCATCGCTCCGGGAGCCCTCGCTGCGGGGTTTTCGAGGCAAACGAGCGTCGGGAGGGGGACAAAAAAATGAAATCCCGAAGGCGCAGAGGGGCCCCCGGTACCGGGGAGCTGCAGGGGGAGGCGGCTCCGCGCAGAGCCGCTCCGGCCCCGCCAAACCGCGGCGGATTTGGGGAGGGGAGAGCCGCGGGGGGAGACCCCCCCCCTGGCTGGGGGAGCCGAAACTCGGAGCCTTCCCCCGGCCCCGGAGGGTTCCCGTGGCCGGGCCCTGGCTGTCCCCGTTCCCCCTCCCGGGGGGGTCGCTGTTTTTCGGGGAGTCCCGGCCCCCCCGGGACACCTTGGGCACGGAGCGGGGCCGGGTCCCCCCTCTCTTAGGGACGCGCTATGGGTTTGTGAAGGATTGGGGAGGGGGGTGTTTTTGGGGATCCTCCCTCCCCGTGCCCAGCGGTGACCTTGGCAGCCCCCCCGCGGGGTGTCCTTGTCACCAGGAGGTCCCCAGGCCTGCGTGGCGTGGGCGACGCAGGGGGCAAGGTCATGTCCTTGGGGAGCTCGTGGGAAGGAGAAGGGCCCCGGGTGGGTGCAGGGGGACAGCCACGCTGCCAGCATCCCGTGGGAGAGTGGGGACAGGATCCTGGGACAGACCCAGTATGGCCCAGTATACCCGCACTGGGAGGCTAGGCACGGGAGCACTGGTCCCAGCACACACAGGTCAGTGTGAAGGAGCTCCGAGCCCTCCCGTTTGGGCAAGCTGAGCTGTGACTGCAGCAGGGAGGCGCTGGGCTCTGCCACCCCCGGCTTTGTGTCTCCTGAAGGTCTCAGAGAAACTCCAGCCAAATTTCGAGGTAGCTGGCCCCAGTGCCAAGGCACCGGGCCGGCAAGGACTGCGGCACGAGCAGGGGCTGCAGGAGCTGCGTGCTGATTTTCCTCCCTGCACAAACCAGCGCAGGCATCAGGAAAGGCTGCGGTGGTGGCACAGCAGGTATTATTGTCACCCCGACGTGTTCCCTCTCCAGGCAAGGAGGGGAGCCTGACTCAGTTTCCCTTCAGGAAGCAGTAAGGTGAGGTCTGAGCACCCCAAACCACAAAAGGGCTCGGGGGTCCCGCACTGCCCCTATGCCAAGGGACACGCAGGGTGCCGTGTGACGACAGTGACCCCAGGAATCAGTGAAACATTAAAGACGTGTGCTCAAAAACCCCTCCCTGATAGATTTAGGGGGTCACCTGGCAATTCCCCCTCCCAAAGCACAGCTTCACCTTGAGAAATGTCTTCACAGAAGACGAGGGGAGCATTTCAGCCACCTCGCCATGTCCTCCAAGGGGCTTCCAGGATCAGCTGAACCAGGCGCAGCAGCCCCCAGCTGAAGAAAATTAAATAGGATTTCTGAGAAGCAGGACCAGGCTTTCCCCTCTAGCTCTAGGGCCTGTCGGCAGCAGCTGGGTGGGGAAGGAAAACCAGCACCAAGCAGGGGCTGCCCACCACAGTGCCAAGCCTGCAGTGCTCACGGGGGCAGGGGGGGCTGAACATCTCCCCTGGCATCCCCCCTGGACCTGCCCAACCCTCGTGTTTCATGCTGAGGAGCTTTGGAAGCAGCAGGGCACAGGGGGCCCCATTCACAGACGCAGACCCAGATCCCTGCTCCAGCATCCCCTTAACTCTGCCCAGCAAAGCAAAGCGGGAGCAGGGAGGTCTGGACCCAGAAGCAGGCACACGAGAGGCAGAAGAAGAGGCTGGTGCCTGAGGTCAGGCACACCGGTGGCTGAAATTATCAACAGGACGTGCCCTTGGCCCTCTAAATGCACACCAGCTCACACCTTTATGGCTTGGGAACTGTTTGGTTTTGTTCCCAGTCCAGAACTGCTATTTCCAGGTTTATGCTGAATTTCAGTAGCAAACCAAGCAGCTACTGCAGAACCCAAAGAGGGCAGGAAAACACACGGGCTTCATTACTGGGTGAGAAACAGACCCAGCTTAGTGAAAGCAATGGGGTTTAAGTGTTTTTTTGTTTGTTTTTTTGTTTGTTTGTTTTCTTTTTCTTTTTTTTTCTTTTTTTTTTTCTTTTTTACCTGTTCCACGCTCATCATTATAAATGGCTAAACCCACTATTTATTTTTTTTTTCCGAGTTCCCCTCCATGGAGCACTACAGAGCCAGCAATCCAGAGCTAAAAAATGCTTAGAAATATTTGGCTCATGCACTAAAACAGAGCTCATCCACGGTGTGGGGATGCTGCTAACTCAGACGGCTCATGAGACGCGATGCTCAGTGGGGAAGAGGATACATCGCTCTGCTTGTGCCAGTCGTTACAGGGCCTGGTTCATTCAGGAAAGGAAAAAAATGTCAGAGCTTAAGCAGAGACCGTGAGGGTTTTCATGGAGCACCCAATGGCTGGGTGCTTCAAAGTGGTGGCAGGAGCCAGCAACTGGAATTTGGAAAGAGCAAAATTCGGATGAGATTGGGGCCGGGTGCCAGGAGGAAGGGTAGGTGGCAGGACCTGTCACACCCTGACTCGTTATGCCTGAGAAGCGGCGGATGTGCCTGCACTTTGAAGGCACCATGCCCACGTTTGAAGGGATTTAACCATGACATAAACGAGAAGTCGCAGGGTTAAGACCAAGCCGAAGAAGTCCCTGCATTGACTCTTCCAGAGGAGCAAGAGGCCTCTTACTTACAGAAGCCGTGCTGGTTATCTCATGGTCTCGTGGCCCTAACAGCTCTGGGAGGGGAGAAGCGTCAAGCAGGTGATCAAATACACCAAAATTTCAAACAAAACAAAACAAAAGTGATCTGAAGAAAGATGACAAGCCCTGCTTGAAATGTGACCCAAAGCCCAGAGCCCACCTCTCCAGGGCTTTGAGGTAGACTGCCAAGAGCAGGGCTGCTCAGGAGCCACAAATGGTCACGCTGAGACTTTCTGCCCCAGCCTTGCTTGTTTGCTCCCATAACTTCCAACCTCAAAAATTCACACTGCAGGCAGTGGTCTGGATTTGTTCCCAGACAGTGGATTGAGACCAGCACGAAGACAGTCAAGGTGAAACGCTTATGGGATGTAGCAAGCTCTGAATCTCTCTCTGCTGTCCGGTTTATTTCGCTGTTACCCACGTGTTGAGCTGCTCTGCTGATGGGGAGGATCAAGGAGCCTGAAGCCCTCATCACTCACTCAAGCTAAGCCAACAAGAGGCGTCCTGCTGGCTACGTTAAACCCTCATCAGATGTTTTGGCCAAATTAAGCTCCAATGCCCCATCTCCAGGGACAGGGATTGAAAGGGCCAGCGCTATTGGCATGGCAGCACCCTCTCCTCTCCAGCTTGAGTTATCGCTGCATGGCTCAAGGACAGCACCCGGACACCATCTTGGCAAGAGGTCTGCATGAGGAACCTGTCTTTTTCTGCGTAGTTCAACAAAACACATCAAGCACGTGGTCAGTCTTCAGGAGGTGCCATCACTTCTGCAGCCTTTCTCTTGCTAAGCCTGCTAATGCCAACCAACCTCCTGGATGAAACCAGCAAAGTCTGCGTGCAGGGTCTGAAACTCTGGCACGGGACATTTTATTTTAATTTAATCACTTCCATTTTAATGAAAGATTACCTTTACAATTAAAAAATTCCCCTGGTCAATGCTCTTCACTTCATATAAAATTTTTGTTTGCTTGTTCTTCTTTTTCAGTATAAATGGGGAAAAAATAGTATTAGAGTTCTTTTTGGTTTTGTTTCTTTCTCCTGTTCTTTCAATCCTCTTCCTCCTTTTCACAGTGAAACGCCGGAGAATGAATCACGTCCCTGTGTGGGAGTTTTAACAAACCGTTTCATTTTTATCCTTCTTTCTTTCCTGTTGTCACTCCTCCTCTCCCCTGAACTTCCCCGAAGCCGCCGAGCGGCAGCGTTGCAATCTGTCAGGCGGACAGACGAAGCACGGCTGCAGCTCAGCGCACTGGCTGCTGAGAGGGTCAGGAGGGGCAGATCACTTAACACTACACCTGTTTTATGAATAATAATACAGGCGGTTTCGCTGGGTTCCTGGGAGGACGTTTTCCCACCAGGATAAGCTCTGCGTATTGAACAAATTCGTGTCTTTAACTCGTTTGACTCTGGTTAGCTGCGTTGTACCGGGGAGCTCCAGCAGTGCCGTGGGAGCTGGGGACAGGCCAGGTGGAGCTCTGAGGCAGGTTTTGTGAGCTCCTTGAGCTTTCCCCTCCCTGCAAGCTTCACTTACAGATGCACTTGATCGCAGATTTGGTGTTGAACAGCACGGTTTTAGTGCTAAAAGAAAGGAAAAAACCCTAACAGGATCCACGAATCTCAGAAAAATAAGAGCTACACTAAAGCTATAATAAACATCGTGGTGCACAAGGCAGCCTGGTGCTCCTGTAAGAGCTGCCAAAATAGGAGTTTTTAGCCTTTTGGAATTTTTTTCACCTCCTCCCAACCCCAAGCATGAGGTCCCTGGGCGATCCCAGCAGCACAAACACAACCCTGCCCCGTGTTGGGCACGCACCGGGGACACCAACCAGCACCAGGGCTAGGGCTGGGACAAGAGGTGCCTTCCCATCCAGGCTGTGCAAGGGTGTGGAGCAGCTTAGCAAAGAAGAAAACACATTAAAAGGGTTGCTTTCCAAATAACTTTACATTTTTTAAGAGTTCAAAAAAGTCCAAGAGCTCTGTTTAGGATGCCAAAATGAATTTTTTTGATTGAAAGCAGAAAATTGCTCCAGGTCTCCCCTTAGCAGGAGCAAGGAACAACAATATCTGGGAAAAGTCTTCCACCAAGAGATCCATCAGCAGGAGCAGCGGTATCCCGAGTGAGGTTTCTGCTCTGATTTGGGTTGCCCAAGAGCCTCTACAGGGTCCCCTTCAGCCCCATCCCCTCCCAGAGCCATAACCACAGCAAAGGAGGACGCTGCTCTGCAGGCTCCCATCAGTGCCTCTCTCATATATTATTTTATTTGTTCTGTTGGCTTTTATTGAGAGTGAAAAAATAATTTAAAGCAATTATCTGTACAGGGGGGGGGCAGGTGGCTGGTTAGCTGGGTGGAGGATCGGTGACCACTCCGGAGGGGGGTTAGAGGGGGGTGATTTACAGCTGTACAAAGACACGACAATCCCACCGAGGAGGAGTGGAGGGTGGAGGACATCTCTCGAGCTCTCACGGACCCGGAGCAGAGGGGTGGGAGGCTGTGCAGGGACAGGGGGTGAGGCCAGACCCTCCTCAAGTGACCTGCAGGGGCGTCTCCAGCATCTCCATGAGGAAGGTGTCAATGGGGGTGTCGCCGATCAGCTTGAAGAAGAAGAGGTGCTCCAGGCACTTCAGCCCGATGGACCGCAGCGCTGGCAGGCGCAGGAGGAGTTTGGCAAACCTGGAAGGAGGGGAGCGGTCAGAGGCGTGAGGAAGGTGCTGAGCGCACGGTCCTGCTTGTTTCCGAGCCTGTGACAGGGGCTTGGGAGAGCAGAGCCCGAGTTCTCCCCAAAATGCCTTGTGGAGTCACGGTCAGACACTTCAGGGGAAATTACCATGGTTGAGCAGGGCACAAAGGAGAAGGGGAGCTCTGTTTTTCCTTCCCTTGTGCTTCAAAGTAAAGAAATAAGCATTTTTCTCTGTATGCGTAGACAGAAAATATCTTCCCTAAAATAATTTTGCATTTCTAAGTTCCAAAAGAAAAGCAAAACAAAAAAAAAAATCTGGATTCTCCCCCCAGCATGAGCCTGAACTGGTGACTTGCATCTCCACCGTGCCATTAAAACACGTCCTGAAACAGCCTTCTATAAAGTCCTCTCCCCCATTTCTCCAACAGTGCCTCTGCCTCCTGTTTTGGGGTGCAGCGGGGGGCTGCTCCCTCCTTCCCTTCTGACCGCAGGACCCCGGCCGGAGCTCAGCACCACGGGAGGTGCCCGGGGCGCAGCGCTCGCCCGGGGCGCAGGGGCCGGCTCCAGCCACCGGCGCTTCGGTGGCGCGGCCAGCAGAGGGTGGGATCGGATCGAGAAGCAGGAGAAGGGCTTCTCCCAGGCGGCCCCAAGGCTCCAGCACAGCTTCGGGGGCCTCAGGCTCTCCCCTGATCCAGCCTCCCCTCTCCAGGGTGGGTGTTGGGGTGAGCAGGGGGCTGGGAAGCAGCTGTGGGATGCTCTCAGTGCTATCCAAGTGTCCACGGACTAAGGGAAATGGGAAAAGTTCTGGGGATGATCCTACATTTGTGCAAACCTGGGAGTCCCCAGGCTCAAAAGGGATGTCCCCATGCCCCACAGGACCCATCGAGTGGTGTTTATGACCTTCCACGTGCCCTCTGCTGGACCCAGCCCCAGGCTGGAGGGCTGCTGCCCCGCTGGGGACACTCACCGCCCTGGCTGCTCGGGGTACTTCTGCTTCGTGTAGGCTTCCAGCGTGGCGTAGACCTTCTCCCGCAGTGACTCCACTTCTGAGGGGCTGGACAAGCCCTTGGCATCTGGACAAGAGAGAACTCTGGTGGAGGGGAAGCCGCTGCAGAGACCTTTCTGCTGCTGGCAGTGACCAGGTGCATGGGGGGGAGAGGATTTGGGCCCTCTTTAGCCAAGCACCCAGAGACTGGGGCAGATCTGGACACGGTCCTGATGCTCAGTGCCACAGCTCTCCTGCTCGTGACCTGCAGAAGCCTGGAGCCTTGTGTTTTCACAGGGAATTTCCCTCCCCTGCAGCCCCACAGCTTACCTGGATTAAACAGGACAATGGCTCGCAGGCAGCCCAGCTCTGACTTATCCATCTGCATGTCCTTCATTTTGGACACCAGCTCTGTCAAAACCCTGCATTTGGGAGACACGGGTGGGCAGATCATCAGAGAAAGGGTTCGGACAGCAAGGCTAGGGGCTGAAGAGTTTCTGGGATGGGCACTGGGAATCCCCCCAGTTCTCTGCAGGGAGAGGCAGCAGTGAGGGACAGCGATGCCACACTGCCCTTTTACACATGTATCAGCAGCACCTGGGGTCCCCAGCATCAAATTCACCCCTGCTCTTGCTCTGCTCAGCACCTGGCCCTCTGCACTGTCTGGATTTTAAAGAACAAGTTGTGTTTGCTGGAGGAAAACCACATGGGTGTTTCTCCACATCTCACTCTGCGAAACGTGGCCGGTTGTGTAAGAGCAGCAACACAGCACCCTGCCAGGCTGCGAGCAGACACGGCACAGACAATCCCCGTGGCTGTTACATGAGCAAATTCTGCAAGCTGCAGCTTAAGGCTCTGCTGGCTAAAGCTCTTGCTGATCAGTATTAGCTCTAGATCCAGTTACAGCAAAAGCTTCAAGCTGCGAGGGGAGGGCAGGGAGGCATTCCTCCTGCAGAAACACACACCCAAACGAGGAGATGATTCTGCAGCTGGAAATCCCTTCCCAAGGTGCTTTCAATTGTGGGTTTTGCTTGTTTGGTTGTGTTTCTTTTAAGCCAGTTGAGCATCTCCTCCTTGTTCTAGCTAATTCTGCCCCAAGTCTCCACGGGTTTGCTCTAGCTCTTGCTAACAGAACATGCTTCCCTTTCAGAGGGGAGACACAGAGCTGCTGGGGGTGACAAAATGACCACAAACCTGTCGAAGATGGAGCCCACGCCAGCACTGTGGGCGCTGCTGCGGTGCACGTGCAAGCCCGTGGCCAGGAGGATGCCGTCCTGCACCGACACGGAGCGGTGGGAGAAAGAGGCGATGAGCAGCTCGTTCCAGCCTGGATTGGAGGGACAGGGAGGTGTGGGGCACAAGAGGACAGGTTCAAAGCATCAGTCCCACGCGGAGTGGGGAGCTGGTCTCTACCCACTGGCTCCACCATCAGATTCCCAGAAAATCTACAGTTTTTGCCCAACACCCATCCTGGCCCTGCTCACCCCGCGAGCTCAGGGTCTCCTCCTGTTCCTCGTGGGCTCACAGAGGCCAGGGGAAGGATGGGGATAACCAGGAAAAGCCCCGGAGGCCACGCATCAGGGACGTTACCTGCACGAAGGAGGATGACTTGGTCCTCCAGCGTCAGGTCGGAGAAGTGGGGGATGCGCTTGGCCCACTCCACCAGCGTGAAGAGCTGCTTGTCAGCGGCGTGGCAGATGTTGGTGACGGGGTCGTTTGTCTGACAGAGCAGCAGCATCCAGGGGAAAGAGCACAGGAAAAAGGGAGAATTGGTCAGTGTAAAATCACTGATAGCAGCAGTACATCGTGCAGCATCAAATCAAGTTAGCAATACTCAAAGTAAACCGCAAGTAAAACAATCAAATCACAATGATTTCAGCTGTGTGCTTTTGGAATAGAGGAGATTTTTATTTTTTTTTTAAATCATCATCTCTTATCAGCCAAATTAGCAGGTTGCCAGACATTTGTTTGCTCTCTGTCCTTCACAAGGCAAGTTCTGCGTGGCAGGCTGGAGTCCTGCTCCCCAGGGCGCATCTCAAAGCCATCTGAACAGGCACGAACAGCAGTTTTACCCAAACCCAGGGAAACCAAAGCAGTGAACCCACTGTGTCCAGCTCCACCTCAGCCTTGGTTGCTGGGGCAGGCAATCTGTGCCCAGGGCTGTGCAGGCACAGAGGCCAGCACTTGGCACCAGCTCCCTGGCATCCAGCTGTTGCCCTATCTACTCCTTGAAACCACAGAGGAAACTGGAAAAAAAATCTAGCAAAACAACATACAGACTGTTTTAGAGCAGTCATTCAGAATAACTTTAAAAAAAAAATCAGTGGTTTTTGGATTTTGTGAAGAAAAAGTATCTTGCAAAATGCTAGCATCGGGTTTGTCCCTTCAAATCACACCTCGAATGCTCTCATCTCAAGATGTGAGTGATTTTATTGAACCCGCACGGAGCCCCTTACTGAGCTCTCTGTGTTGACATCGCTGTACGCCTCCGTTTTGGGTTCCACCGCCAGCTCTGCTTCCAGGATCCTCTCCACGGGCATGTCCTCGCTGCCGCTGCTTGTGGACTCAGCTTCGTTTTCGCTCCGCTCCCTGCTCCTCTGCCTCTCCTCCTGCACAGCTGGAGGACAGAAGAGCATCTCTTCACACCCAGACAACACTTACCTGCTCGCTTTGGGTTCCTTTTTCTCTGGAAAGAAGGTTGAGAAACCCTTCTGGCAGGGGGAGAACAGAAAATAGGCAGATACTTCAGGGTGCCCCCATCACTCCCCAATAATTTTGGGGTTGTTGCAGTCCAGTGGCCTCCAAATTTGACAAAAGGCAGTGAGTGGCTTCCAAGCTCCAGCAGAGAGGAAGGAGGAGTTCATGCCTCCAGGTGGCAGCCTGGACTCAGCCTGGATGCTGGAGGAGGCAGGAGGGCCCCCAGCACCCAGCTGCTGAGGTTTGCTGCATGCCCAAATCCTGCCCCAAGCTGAGGCCTCCAGCTGCACAAGGGGGCATGGGGCTGAGCAGGAATTCCTCCTGCTGCAAGCTTGGATCTCTCCTTCTCTTCTACCATCTCCGTTTTCCAAAATATCTGCCAATAGGAGAAACAGAACCACCGAAATTCTCTACGGATCTCAGCGTTTAACCCTCAGGTGTATGAAGGACAGGTCAGCGTAGGATGAGCATCCATGGCATGCCAAGCCTCGTGCTCAGTAAAACATCCTGGGTGCACGTTTTTGTTTGAGGAATCCCGAAGGGAAACATGGAAACCTTGCTTAAAAAGGAAAAAAAAAAATAATCAAGTGACCAACAGTTTAGCTTATTACTGGGGAGAAGCATCCCAAAAGAGCAGCCCCACTGACACCACTCCTGTACAAAAGCACACAGAACCAGCCAACGCACGTGTGCTCGGAGAAAAAAATTTATCCTCCTTAGGCTAATGGACAAGAAGAAGCCAGGGAGGTGTTTCTAAAGTCCTCAAAACCTTACTGGAAGGAAGACCGTGCTTGGGAAACACCAGCCCCATCTCCTGGCCTCTGAACTCACCCAGGACCCCTCGCTCCAGCCGCAACCTGCCCCCAGTTCCTGCAGCCCCCAAAAAGCCCCTGTGATTTCTGCAGCCGAACAACCACAGCTGCAGCCTGGTGCAGGTTTGTTCTCCCACTGCTGCGTCCACCAGCAGCCTGGGGTTTCCATTTTCACGCCCTGGGAAGGGGAGCTGCGCTGACCTCACGGTCCTCTGAGCCACTTTGCACCTAGCAGGAAGGGAGAGCTGTGCCTCAGATGAGGTTTTTGATTCCAGCCTGGCATTTCACAGTCCCCTGCTGCCCTAAGTGCTCAGGGCAGCACGGCAGTGACCGTGCTGTGGGGAACAGGCTGAGGTTCAGAGGTTCAGCCTCTGCCTGGCATCACAGCTGCCTGCCCAGGCTTTGCCCTGCACTGGAGTGTTTTGTGCTCTCCATGGGGACGGCGTGGCCTCTGAAAGGGATAGCTAACAACAACAACAACAAAAAAAAAAGCAGCTTAAAAGCCACACTGGATGTCACTACCTGACCTTACAGTCAATATCCTGAGGAAGGAGGGGGGAAAAAAATCACCCCCCATGAACGTGAAGGACAAGATGTCCTGTGAGAGGGCACCTGCATACGCACTGTGGGACACCAAGGACCAGCTCTGTGAGTCTGCAGCTCTTGAAAGCCCCTTCCCTACAGCACAGCAAGCCCTAAGGCTGCATGAACACCAGCGCTGCTGCCCCACATCCTCCTGCAGTACAGAATAAAAACAGATTTTTACCTTCCCTCTTCATCCCCATGGCGAGGCACTTCTGATAGCGGCAGTACTGGCAGCGGTTGCGCTGGCGCTTGTCTATGAGGCAGTCCTTGTTGTCCCGGCAGGTGTAGATCAGGTCCTTCCTGATCGTCCTCTTGAAGAAGCCCTTGCAGCCCTCGCAGCTGTACACCCCGTAGTGCTTCCCTGGGGAGGCAGGACAGGCCGTGAGCAGGCACGGAGGAGCTCAACCCAACCCCAAACGTGAGCGAAGAGGTTTAAAATGAGATGATACGCAGAGCCCTGTTTTTTGGGGTTGCCCTCTTTTGTGCACAGCACAACCAATTTGCAAAGCAGACAGCCTGCCTTTAGATAAGCCAGGCCAGCTACAAATCCTGCAACACCAGCACGAGCCCCACTCCAGAGCATCAGGGGAGCTTTCATTGCACAGAGCCTTCCACGAGGAATAAAGCCTCCTACCTGAGGACCTGTCCCCACAGATGGCACAGATGTGTTTGGCTAAGGAACCTGGGCTTGTAGATGGATAATTCATGTTCCCCATCCCCGTGAGACCTGGCAGGGGCTTGACATCCTCCGAGCTGCTGACGTTGTTGAGGACGTTGAGCTGCAGAAGCAGAAGACATCGCATGGAGAGGGCTGAGCTCCGTATCCAAGTGAAACCATCCCCAAATTGAGCCCCCCCTCCCTGCCCAGGCTGGCTGGGCTCATCCCCAAGCTCATCCCCAGCCCCAGGAGGTTGCCTTGGGCAGACTGACATCCTCCAGTGAATCCAGCTGGAGGGATTTAAGATGCTATAACCAGAAGACAGCGCTAAGCAGAGCTGGAAAAGGGCAGGCAGCAACCCTCAGCTGCTCAGTTACAGCCTCCAAGCGACAGTGCTGGTGGGATCCTGCCTGCTTCGTTAGGGGATGCTGGTCACCAGCTGCCTGGGGCCTCGAGCACTAACTGCTTAGTAAGGAAGGGCTCTGCAGCCAGGTGGTTTGTTGCAATTCAACCTGCGTGGCTGGGGAGGCTGTGACGATGTTAATAACGATAATGAGTGCTAAATGGGGTAGCTTCCCTGCCTCGTGATGTGCAAATCTGCAGAAACACGTGAAAACACAGCAATCACAGTTGCTCTCTGGGGCTCGGGTTCCCAAACTCAGTAACAGACTGGCGATCAGAGCACATTTGGGGTTGCCAGATCAAGAAAAGGAGCGAGCTGAGCATCTAAAATGTGCTGCAGCGAGACGCAGGCAAAGGGCCCGGAGCTCCCAGCTCGGATCCCCTGGAGCTGCTCGTGGCTGCTGCGAGTTAAAGGTTACAAACTGACATCGATCAGAGACCAAAGCCCGATGTTGCCCAGGGCTCCCTTTTATTGCTATTTGCTATTTTGCTCTGCTGTTGTCAGCAGGGCAGCGAGGAGTAAGGGCCATCGAGCACGTCTTGTCAAAAGCTGCCCAGGCAGAGCAACATCTCCCCAAAACCACGGGCAGATCATCTTTCCCATCGCCATGCTTTGAGGGATGGTTTCTTCATCACTGGGCTTGGTTTTAACAGTCACCACAATTTGTCAGCTAAATCTCTGCTTCCCAGCAAGAGTGCAGAAGCAGGGAGAGAAAACAGGGCTTGGGGTGAAAGTCGAGCTATGTCTCTAGTGAGCCTTCAGAATAACTAAACCCCCTGGTTTTGTACCACTTGTTGCAGGTTCTCCATTTGTTCCAAGAAACCGTCCATTTCCCATGAAAAAGTGTAATAACCTCCCCAGGGAATTTCAGCCTAGAACAAGGAGAGTTGGTCCTGTTGGGATTTTTGGACCCATCATTAGATAAGTAAAAACGTGAGGTCTGTCCTCATCTTCTGTCACCGCTGGCCCTTCATTTGCAAAGCTTCAAAGGTCTGATGGCATTGAAAATACAAGTTACCCAGCAAAAATTATCACATTAGGAGCCAGCTTGTTTTCTCCCACTGAAAAATAGGGCTCTACAGAAAAACATTGCCCTGGGTAACAAAGGTTTGCTGTCCCCAGCAGAGACCCAACCCAGACAATGGGCAGCTGTAAATCCAAAAGCTCCAAAACCCAAACTTGGAGCAAGGAAAGGATTATACAAACCTTTCCTCCCCTCCAAGTAACCAGTTTTTAAAAAACTCTGCAAGTTTCTTGCCAAGATGCTGAGGCAGGAGGAACTTTTTATGGTTGAAAATATTACTCGGAGCTCAGGTATCACCTTTGCTTTCACTCTGCCTGCACTTCCAGGCAATAACAGGGTGCACGTCGGGGGAGAAGTGGGGCAGTTTTAGCCATCAGTGTCTTTGGAGCTTGACTCCTGCAGGTTAAGTGCAATCACGTATGATATTTGGGACAACTGCTTGAACCCAAATCCATTAGCAGCCTCCCTGCCGAATCCCCAAGGCCCAGCTGTCTCCTTGCATTAGAGGCAACACAAGTGAAACGCTCCTCGGAGCTGGTAGCTTGGCACGGTGCCTGGATTGGGGAAACTGCCTCCTGGAGCATCCCCTGCCCCAAAGGAAAGGGTCTCCGTACAGCCAGCATCGCCACCAACTCCGGCACCACCAAGCACCTGCTCAGGGCGCCACGGGCACAAGTATTGCCAGAACTTTTCAGCACATGAAAAAATCCCACACAGCCACCTGACTGAGGTGGTCGTGGGCTCTTGGCAGCTTGGTCCTGCTCCTGCCCGGACCAGGTACCCCATAAGGGTGTCCCCTGGCTGTGGGGGACACTGACCCCTGCCACAGGGATCCCCCCCTTGTCTGGAAGGGAAACCTCAGCATCTGAGCGAGCTCAGACAGCGAGGACAGGAGCGCTTTGTTTTTCTTCAGGCAAAGTTTACCTGCAGCCCAGAGTACGTGGCTGGCATTTAGCATCAGCATTTGTCTCTCCAGAAAGTCTGTGGGAAGGAGCTAGAGTGAAACGAAGCAGATACCCTTTTGCAGGAGAAATAGGGATGGCTATTTCCATTTACATGTACGTGTATTTCCACTCGTAGTAACTATTCCCGTGGCAATAGACGCAGTGGTGGGGATCAGAAATGGGGATTAGCTCTCCCCCCTCACCGTGCAGGGTATTTGGAAACGTAGACAGGCATTTTCCATGTCTGTGCCAGGGGGATTTATGCAAGAAGGCTCATGTCCTGATTGTTCTTTACATCCAACCTCCATAAGTGGCCAAAGCACACCAAGGACCCCCCAGCAGCCCACCCACGCCAACCTCAGAGCACCCCAACCCGGCGCAAAGGCAGCGAGCGCCTCTGCCTACCTGTGGGCCAGCGTGCGCCACGAAATTCATGCCCGGGGCCGAGGACAGAGCGACGGGGTGCGAGCCGATGGAGGATGCGATGACCCTGTAGGGCGAGCCCAGCGCGCCCACCGGCGACCCGATGGCGTTCATGGGGGACGGCAGCGCCCGGGAGGCATTCGCGGGTGCCTCGAGGTAGTTGTGGTGCCCGTCCACCGCGCTGCCCGCGGAGAGGCTCGAGGATGGGCTCACGGATGTGGAGCTGGCGTGAACGGGGGAATCTGCAGGAGAGGCAGAGATGAGGGACACGATGGGTGAGCCTGGCCGCGTGGAGATTCGCTGCCCTGACTTGGTCAGCATCAGCGTAGATGCTGGCCGAGGCTCAACACTGGCCAGCAAACGTGCCTTATTGTATAAGGGGAAAGAGCAAAACATCGCTTATGGCACAGGAAATAGGGTTATACACAGCAACAAAACATATTATGAAGATAATATTTAATAATCAAATCTCCCTTGGCTGCTTCAGTCCCTCAGCTGACGTGGAACAAGGCACCGCTGCTGCCTGCCTCGGGCTGGGTTTCTATCCCTGAGGTCCCACAACTAGGATCAGCACACAACTAAAGCCATGCTATCCCCACCAACCAGGCTGGAAACCCCAAATTACTCCCTGGGATGCTCCCTTGCTTCCAATGATGATGGCTCACGGTGTCACATCCTGCAGGCTCCTCTTCCCTTCCCCATGGCTCAGCTCCTCACTCCCCCCACCTATGTCCCCACCTTTTATTTCACACCTTCCTCCTGCTCCTCTTCAAGATGCCTCATCAGGCTTTGGGACCCATTAACCATACAACCCACAAAATGCCAAGCTCCAGCTCAACGGTTTTGCCCATAATTATTTAGCAGTGCAGACAACAGGGCAAGGCACCCAGAAAACTTTTTATCCATTGTTTGCCCTCACTTATTGGCACAAGAGGGAGCAGGCAGAGGCTGTGACCACACAGACAGCAGTGTCTGGGCACCAAATGCCTACCAGCCTCGATGGGTTCTGTATCTAGTTGCATTTTAAGGATTTACTTGTGACCTTTATTTTTTTTTTTCCCCCTTCCCTAGAATTTAGCAACCCCGGTTAGCATTAGCTGTCATTAGCATTTCAATGAAGCATTGTTTCTCTCTTGGCTTTTCAACACAGGAGACCGTTCCCCGGAGCAGCAAGGCAGAGATGCTGTGTGGGAAGGTCACACAGCTGGTTTTCCATGGCTGGCACGGAGGATGCTCTCCTTGCGTTTGCAAGGAAGGCAGAGGTTTGGTGGTTCCCTCCCTCCCCCCCACCCCAACATTACTGCAAAGTTATTTACGTGACAGCGTTTGTTATTTTACCTGAAGTCACAATCAAATCTGATTCAAAAGGAAGATGCACAATAAAGACGGGAAAAGGTCAGCTTGCTGAATAACATTAAAGACATTTGTCAGAGTCAAGGAGGACTCGATCCGCTGTTATCAACCCACTTCAGACTTAATTCCGCAGAGGGAGGGGGAGAAAAGGTCTTTGTCAATTCTTGCTTTGGCTTTTTGGATCAATCCTCCCAGTGGGAAAGCAACGTGCGGCAAGAGGAAGCCAGCACAACAGCAGAGCCCCGTGGGCAGCACAGAGGTTTGTGGGCAGCCCCAGGGCATGGGGTTGCACCCTGCTGCTGGAGGACATGCCCCAAGCCCTCCTGTCACCACCCTGGGGACAGCAGCACGTGCAGCATGGGTTGTTAATCAACAGCAAAACTCCTACCTTGGAGAGGTTTCCACGTAACAAAGCCTTTCACCCAGAGACAGCTGCCAGGAGAGCCTTTGGAGGGGGGCAGATGTCCCACCTCCCCTGGGACCTGACTCTGAGGCACCTCGGTTGTTCCTTGGGACTTGGAGAGGAGCATCCTGACCTGTGCCATCAACAGCTTCAGAGAAACGGGCACGGGTTTCTCATCGCCTCCAAGTAGTCTGGTTCCAGAGTGCGCAGTCCTCCCCAGCATCAGGCTTATGAATAAATTAATTTTTATGTCACTTTAAACAGGTGAGCTAACAGCATTACCTTTTAGGATTATTCAGCTTGGGAGAATAAGCCACCGAAGGGGGGATTGGGCAGAAGTCTGTCACAGCAGAACAGCTAAGGAGAAGAGGGATGATTCTTCATCCTTTTCCAAGGCCATCTTTTAAAGTACAGTGCAGAAGATGTAAGCAGATAAGAAAAGACTCCCAGGTGAGATATTTTACCCGTGTACACTTCCACCAGACCTACCAGAAACGCGGCCACTACTAAGTTTCCCTCTTAGAAAGGCTCCAAGCTTCTGAAAGACATGGTGGTCCAGGATTTTCTGAAAATGGCTTGGGAAGATTAAATGAAATGTTCCATGGGAAAATACCATTTGTGTCACGCATCTTCCAACAGAAAGTGACCTGAACATCTCGCAGGGACTTCCCTCGAGGTATTTTCTTCCCATCGCTGGGGGATGAACAGAAGCATCCGAGCTGCTCCGCGGCAGGGACGTGGCCCTGGGATGGCGCGGGGGGGACCGTGGAGCCAGGAGCCAGCCAGGGCTGCCTCCACCTCTCCAGCAGCACTGGGCACAGGTGACATTTACCCAGGCCCACAGCCCATCCGTCAGGTAATGCGAGGTGACAAGCGGTGCCGGGGACTCGGCCGGCTGCGGCAGGGCCCCGTGGAGCCGAGGGGAGGAGAGGGCTCAGCTCCCAGCCAGGCTGGCACAGCCCAGTGCCAGTGTCCGGAGAACCCAGTGCCTCAATCAACCCTTCACGAGCTCTCTTGTGTGCCCCCCTCACACACAGCAGCCTTCTTTTTGTAAGAAACCAAGTTTAAAAATAAAAGGGAGCGAGTTTCTGCGTGCTCTGCTGCTTCCAGCTGCCTCTGCGGGTGCAGCACAGGCTGCAGAGAAGAGCCAGGGTTTGGAGGTGGGCATACAGACACAACGTGCACCCTATTGCTGCAGCAATCGGGGTAAGATCGTATGAAATTATTGATGACTCTGCTGACATTAGAAAGAAACTAGAGGAAACCCCAGGAACCGTGCAGCTCTCTGCATTTTAATAACGTTGCCCTTGAGCAAAAGCATTGCATTCACCTAATGGCCACCAAAAGCAAGCAGGCACACGACAAAGCTCTGATTCTCCACTTCAATCTGGGTTTTTATCTCCACCACAGCAAAATCCCAGCCCAGGATGGGAATAATGACAGAAGACACCAATCTCACCAACTGCAGTAGAGAAGAAGTGGAAAGAGAACAGAGACTGGAAACATCCAAGCCTAGATGATCATCTCTAGATGATCACACTTCCAGCCTTGTCTGGAACCAAGAACCAGCACAAACCCTTTGAATACCAAAAACATGCCTGTGCTTCTGGGGTCTCAGGCATGCACGGAAAGGGTTCATTTCACCGGCATGAAGGATGACAGCAGAACTTTGCAGGTACCTCCTCCTCTGCAGATCCAAGCGCCAGGCAGAGGCGTGCAGGGAAGGGCTTCAGCAGAGGAGTGGGAGGCACAGCCTGGCAGGCAGCTCATCCTTGGAGACAGCCTTTGTGGGGAAATACCTGCTCCTGAAACTGGATGCAGTTGTGTAGCAAGGACCCTGAGTTAATTAGAATAAAAGTTTTGCTGCTATGACTGCGTATTTTTTCAATACATGGAAGCTAACCCAAAAAACTATCCCCTTTCTGGTGGTATTTTTAACTGTCCAAGCAGGTTTCCATGGGCAGTAGATCCACACGCTAATACCCTACAGCAAGGTGACTGGTTTTGCCTTGCTTTTAAGGTCCAGCAACCTTTGTGCTTCCAGCTGCCCACTCAACTCTGCGAGCCAATAAATAATGCAGCCTTCCCCTGACAGCTGCCATCAGAGAGGAGCAAACAGTTTTGGAGGTGAGCAGGGGCTTCCGCAACGGGGATCTGCATGGAGGCAGCGATGAGCAAGCAAGAAAAGGTTTCCCTCTGGCAGTGGGAAAGAGCTGTCACCTCTCCTCTCAGATAGCACAGAGCTGACCCAGGAGGAGCAGTGGGCTGGAAGCACGTGAGGCTTTCACCTGGCTTGGTCCAAACTCTGCATCGGTTGCTGAGATTTTGGGCTGATTTGGTTGAAATTGGACCAGGTATCTCTATGGCTATGGTGACCTTACCAATCAAAGAATCCCCTAGAAACTGCTTGTTAGGTAATTAAAATAAAGACTGGATGCCAGATTCACCACCACCTACCCCTATAGGTATCACTTCCCCCTGGTGACAATGGTAATGCATGAGAGTTATGTAAAAGTTCCCCATTCACAAAGAAAAAAGTCATTGAATTTGAGGCCTGAAGGGCTTTTTGAGATTGTCTGATCAGATCTCTCACTGGGATCTCCAGCACAGCATCCACCAGGGACAAAACATACACACAGATCCCTACAGTGGTCTTTGGGCTCCTGGAGAAGCTACAGGTCCCCATCAGAAAGCATCCCATTTGGCCCTGTGAAGGCAGGTGAAAGCGAGCCTCTCCCACTTTTAAAACAAAATCCGTTTCAGTAGCTGCAGGATTTTGCCCCATTGCTGGATTTTCTCACACGTTTGTCCATCGGGTCAAAGACCTCCACCACCATCACAAAAACACGCTCACGGGTCTGGCCACGGCAAGCTGGGGCACCCAGAGGAGAAGCAGCCCATGGCACGGGCACCACGGGCAAAAAGGTGCCAGGGGCCGGGCAGCAGCCTGGGTTTTCCTCCGCAGCTCTCCCGAGCCCCCAGCCGACCCGGCCTAACCCCGCTTTGCCTGGGAGAGCTGACAAGATCGCAGCCGGAGGTGGTGTGGCCGCAGGCCAAGTTACATGAGTACTCATAAAAGAGACTTTGTGGAGGAGCCAAGTTAGTTCTTGTCCCCAACCCACTGTGCCAGAGTGCTCGGAGAGGGGACGGCCAGCGCAGCATCTTCCCTCGCCCTGGGAGCAAGGCATCGGGTGAAATGCATCCTTCTGGGGAACAAGACCACGGGTTGAAACCCTTTCCATGTTCCTGGAGCCCAGGCTGTGAAGGCAAATCTGGCTGCTTAGCGCACATCCCCTGCTTTGGATGTCAATGAAGACCAAGTTGAAGCATACATAACAGCCACTTAAATGAAAAAAAAAAAAAAAAAAAGAAAAAAAAGGAAGCAAATACAGTTTTAGGAAACCAGAGCTGCATCAGGGGCACAGGAGCCCTCCAGCTTTGAGGGGAGCATGGATGTGAGCAGGGACCCCAGGTCTGGATCATGCCCAGGGAGCACAGGGCAGGCAAGAGGCATGGTTTAAAGCAGCCCCAACAAAACTCAGCCAATGCTTTCCCATCTCTTGCCAGTGATTCACCAGCAGAAAACTCCTCTGGTTTTCTAAACCGAGCTAGAAGCAGGCTAAAATACCATTTAAATGCACTTCTAAATGGAAGTTAAAGCTCCAATATATCGAACTGTCGGCCAGATGTTGGATTGGTGCCCTGGTCTTCGCTGGTGGGGCAGAAATACCTCTTCTTCCTACCAGCTCCCTTTCCCAGAAGCCTCCCGAATGCTCCGCAGAGCGCTGTGACCCCTGCCTCCACAGGGATCCGTGCCTGGTTCCTGCGAAGATCAGTCTGAACGTCTCCTTGTACATTCGTAATACTCAAGGAATTAAGCACAAATAACACTTCCATTGTTCCCCTCTTATTGCGGCAATAGGAGAGAGCTTGGCTTTGCTTTTCTGGTTCCCTAAGAACACCAGCGAGCAGTAGGCTTTTCCAACAAGAAGCCTGGTTTCTGCAGACCCTGGCTAAGGACTTACTTTGGAAAGTTGAGCGCTTGCGAAACGCAGGGGTGACGATGCAATGCCTATGGCTTTTCTGGAGCTGGAGAATTTCCAGAGGTGAGCATCCATTGCAAGAGGGAAAATCACACGTGGTGGGACCATCCCGTGTGCAATCCAACATCTGCACAGACCTCATCTCCAGCAAAGAAATCCCACCCAGCAGCTCCTCAACCCGTTCTCCCTCCAGCTTCCTCACACATTAGGACAGGGAAAATAGCGTAATACCTTTGGATAAAGGCAACAAGCGAGCACTAGGAACTACAGAGCCTGTTTCCCAAGAGCAGTTCTGGTTTCTGCACTGGGGCTGGCTGGTGTGCGGGGGTCTGGTGCAGCCCCTAGCCCTGCAAGCAGGCACAGCCCCCTGCACAGCCCCTGCACAGCCCCATCTCCCTGCTCACAGCCTCGTTTGGCAAACCCGAGGCAGCTCCTGGTGGATACGGGGGGATCCGTGTCCCGGGGGCAGTGCCACGATGCAGGCTGCTTTATGTCTAAAAGCAATTTTTTTTTTTTTCCTCCAATGACTTAATGAATAAAAATGCAATTGTAAAGATACTTCCTTCGTTTGCTCCTGCTCTTTGAAAGATCCAACTCACACACATCTCCTGAACACCAAACTTCAGAGCAGAGCCTGGCTTTGATCCACGCCTGCCTGATTTCAGGCAGCTTGCTTTGGCTGTGAAGTAAATCACAGCACAACTTCAGTCCCAAGCACACAGGCACTGTGGGTTACCGCCACACGTGAGCTAGGCTAAACACATTTCTAAATTCCCTTTTCCCCCCCCGGATCCCTACTGCAGGATCAGATTCCCCACCTAACCCAGCAGGCACCGACTGCGAACGCAAGGGGAATACTCACTGCCGAAGCCCACGGGAAACTTAATGAAGTGAGGATAATTCCCGTACATGTTGAAATCTTCAGTTCATCTCTCGCCTTTCTAAACACGACCACCTCCTCTCACTTCAAAGCTGCCCGGAGCGCGGCGCAGCCCACCGGGGTCGGGACATGGCTCTGCGGGAGCGGGGGCTCTCGGGGGGCACGGGGGCAGCTGCCTCCTCCCGCGGCCTCATCCTCGCTTCACGCCGGCAGCAGCTGCTGGCTGGGATGAGAGGTGCTCTCGTTCCTGGCAACTCAGGGCTGGCTCCTGTCTTTGACCGTCTCGGCTGGCCGTGAATTCACCGCAGAGCGTCCCGGTAGCATAATCGCCCGGCTAAGACACCGATGGATGCAGGCAGGCTCCGGTAGAGATCAAAAATTGGGAGGCGGAGGGGAGGTTTAAGTTGTTTAGGGGAGGAGCATCGTGGAGAAGGAGGCGGCTGTTTGCTTTTCCACCAGTCAAGACTCGCTGCAGGTTATTAGTTATGCTGGCCTCAGCCATGTGGAGGTGTTTTCCAGGCACACCAAGGGCCAGCAGTGCTGAGAGCAGGAGCCCCCACGCAGCTATCCAAGGGCTTTGGGGGCTGTGCGGGACGTGGAGCATCATGCTCCTGCCCTGGTTCTGCTTTACCTGCACTCCTGGCATCATGCTGCAGAGTCGTGGTTGCCCCTAGGAAGCAGCGGGTGGAGCTGGAAGGGGCAAAAACCCAAACCCAGTGTGCACTGTGGCAAGCATCACGTGCAAATATCAGCCTCCTTGCTGCACCACGCAGCATCAAGCACCCAGGGGGTTGCTTTTGGGCACCCCGGTTAGGTGCAGGGTCCCCGCACCCCTCCTGGAGCCAGGATGCGAGCTGGGCTGGTGGGGAGCTGCTCGGTGGAGATGGGGAGCCCACTTGCAAGGAGCTGGTTTACAGCTGGCTGCTGAAGCTGCATGGGATGAGGAGGGGGGGACACACAGGACAGAGCCCAGGGGGCTCAATCCACGCCAGCAAAGAGTTTGGAGCCACAGCAGCACAAGGCAGCAGGCTGCACAGACAGCCCCCATCCATCCCTCATGCTCACTTCATGCCCACCCACCCAATAATCAACTACTGCAGGAAATAAGCAGAAATAAGGAGGAACAAACAGGCAGATGCCAGAGCAGGGCAAAGCCAGGTGAAGATTTTTGGTACTGCCTCTAGCAGCCGGTGCTCTGCGGGGGGAGCATCCCAGCTCCCTGCCCTGTGGCTGCAGTTTTGGGGGGAGGCAGGGATGGAGGCAACGGCACGGCCCCGTGCTTCTGGTCCAGGTGACCTCAGATGAAGTCACCTCGAAGGAATGGGAGAGGGAGGAATTTTGCCCGAGGTTGTAAAGCGAGCAGAGGCCCAGGTCTGCGCTGCCTGGTGTGCAGAGCTGTGCTGGAGGAGGAGGAGGAAGAGGAGGAGGAAGGAGGATCACAGCCCTGCCATCAGCACGTGGTGGAGAACAGGGACAGGGGGCTGGTGATGGAGGCCAAGCATCACCTGGCCTGGAGGGTGAAGGTTACCCTAGTTAGCTCCATTTCTCCCTTCGCTCCCAGACAGCAGCTCCAGGACTTGGCCTTCACCTGGGCATCTCCACGCAGCAGAAAACTGACCGCTGCCAGGAGCGAGCAGGCTTGCAGGCAGCAGCATCAGTGCTCTGCATCGTCCCAGGCACACGCATGCAGTTTTCTCAGAGTAAGACACGAGATCAGTATTAGGGGATAACGCTGGCTGTGGCTTCAGCACGGTCTTTTAGCGTGGTGTTGGGGCTCCGTGCGAGGCCAGGAGGTGCGAGGCAGCAGGGCAGGATGCCCCACGGCCCCGCGGAGCCGGCTGCAAGGTGCCTTGTTTCAATCTCTGGACAGGAAAATTGGATTTCTCAGCAGGGAAAGCATTTTGCCCTCCGTGACAAGTCTGAAAAACATTTTTCAATCAAAAAGAACCAAAAAAGCAAACAATTGCTTGGGAAGAAGCGATGCTTTTTACCCCCACGAGCAGGCACGGAGCAGAGCTGGGACGGGGAGGTGTGAGCAGCGAAGCCGCTTTGTGTTTTAAGCACCCACCACGCCGGGTTTTAGCGGGGGTATTAATCCTCACCCACCACGCAGGATCTCAGCAGCCTTAATTCCGTGCTAATGACGTTTTAGTAGGGAATTATTTTTATTGATCTGCCCAGAGCAAAGAGCCTGATTTTAGCCTGGCTCTGCCAGCATCCCGTCCTTTTTTTTTCCTCCTTTCTTCCAGCTTATAAGAAATGGGAGAGAAGAGAAACAAAACAGCCCTGAGCTCCTTAAAAAGGCTGGCAGTCCCAAGCAGTAAGTGGATTACTTTATTGATTTTTAGCAGATCTGGGTTAGCCAGCGCTTAGCGCTGCAGAACACATGCACGCTGAGCAACTCCAAGGGAACCCCTCCAGGCCCTTTCCTCAAGCTAAGCAAGCACTGGGAAATTCATTTCAGGGTTTTGGGGCGGGCTCCAGCCCCTGTACACAAATCAGTCTGGCAGGCTCCAGGAACCGGCCCAGCTTCTCTTATAAAGTGCTGCGGGACCATGCAGAGGCAGCCCCTCAGCTTCTGCAAGGCACTGCTTCGTGTTCTTGAAGGCTTGCCATTTCTCCCCTCTTATTTTGTAAATGGCAACGCCGTGACCACCACTGCTGTCTTACAAAGGAAAACCACTGCCACGCTCCACCCAGATGGGACTCCATCCTGTGCAGGTTCAAGCCACCTGAGATGCTAATGTTGCCTTGAGGTCCTGCCTTCCTCGGGTCCCCATCAGCTCCCCAAGGGCACTGTACCGTATCTCATGTTTTGGCAGCACGTTGGAATAGCATCCCAAAGGTTTCTCAGCACTGCTCCACCCAGACTTTTGAGATATTGGCCTCTGGAGCCAGGCCCTAAACATGTGAAGGCCCAAAGTTGAGTCATCTTATCCCACCCTGCCCCGCAACCAGGAAAGCAGAGATCCCAGGCAGATGCCAAGTGATGTGCTTAAGAGCCAATAATGATTTGGTGACAGAGCAGGGACCGGAGGCTGGGTTTCTGCAGGCAAATTGATTGACGGACCCAGTCTCAGTGTCTGCTCTGCTGGTTGGCATTGGCACGGGACAGAGCGAGGTCACTTTGGGCATTCCTCACAGATGGAGAGGAAAGGAGCTGCTGCTCCGGCCCTTCCCCACCCAGCCCTGCCCTTTGCCACCACTATCTCTGGTGAAGCAATAACCACAGACACCAAGCTAATGAAATTAGCCCCAGAGCCCCACCGGGCTAATGCAATTACCAGCAGCAGCAGCACCAACACACCTGCAGCAGCACAGCCTCCCCTCTCCTCCTCCCCACGCCTTCCCCATCTCCCCCTGAGCCCCACGGGTGCCACCACGTCCCCTGCCCACGGCCAGGACCAGCAGGGTCCGGAGGGCACAGGTCACTGTCCCCAGCTCCGAGGGCACTGCCTACCTTGCAGCAAGCACCGTCCCCTGCAGCCAAGAGCGGGCTCTGAGGGCAGATAATTCCCAGTCTGTTTAAACCTCGGGAGTCCTTCAATTATCAGCACCATAATGAGGCCCTCGACGCTAATCAGTGGTGTCACTGAATCCTCTTACGCCTGCTTAAGCGCCTCCAGCAGCTTTGCTGGTTGCGGGGCCCAGCTGCCCACTCCTCCCAGGAATTACCTCCCCCGGCAGGCACCGGTGCAGCACGAGCACTTTTGGACACAGATGCAGACAAGATGCTTCCAGGCATGGGACCAGAGAGCATCCAGGACCAAGCAAACACACCGAAATCAGCTAAAAAATACAAACAAGGAGATCTTTTAATGCTAACACTCTAAGCCACCAAGCCAAGCTCATTCTCCAGGATGCTCCAGGAAGCTTTTTGGCCCCTGGTGGTGGGTGGCAGGTGACCCTGTCCTGCTCTGCTTCTCTGTCCTGGCACTCACTTGTGGGGCGACAGGCAGCACATCCGTTCTGACTCAGGCTTTCTGCTCCAACAATGCACTTTTTAATATCACGCGAGGAGCAAAAACAACAGGTCCACTATAACGCCGAGATATCCTGAGGCAGAAAATCCATTTGGAGCCCAGCGAGGGAGAGTAGAGTCAATTAGACACTTTCTGGGGCGTCAAGCTGCCAACAATCCCAGCCTTTGTAAGAGCGAAGAATCAGTGCCTATGTGCTTCCCAGCGACTCCCCCTTGCCGGAGCAGAAAGGTCAGCAGCAGCAGCGTCATGGAAAAGCATGAAGTCAAATATTCCCGGGAAGGTGGACCCAAAGAAATAGCCATGTGGACCTTTTCTGTCAAAAGCATCCGTTGCTTTGGGGTCAGGGTTCGTGGGGGAATGAGCGCGGCTGGTAGCAGGGAGGTTTGGTGTGCCAAATTCAGGGGTTTGGGAATAGATAGCATCGAGGGGCGATGCTGGGTCTGCTAGCTCAGGGCCTGGGAGCTTGTGACTCTCCTTTCTCCTTCCAGGCAGGTGCCTCCACCTTTTGGGCTTTGCCAGGGAGAAGCACGTGCAGACAAAATGCTGCAATGCTGCTGCTTTCCCTCAGCGACCATTCCTCGGAGGAAATTTTTCAATAGGAGATGGATCCTTGATCCTTGGGTTAATCCTGCATTAGTGCTTGTAAGGACAGCAACATAAAAACAAAATCCCTCAAACAAAATCCCCACGATTTTAGGGCTTCTCTGACTACCCAGAAACAAACTACCTAAATAAAACTCCATCCTCCCACCTATCTCTGCAGAACTCCTGGAAAACTTTCAAAAAGCCTTTTTTTTTTTTTTCCCTAGATCCTGCTCAATTCTTCACTCTCTTTTTCTGTGAGACCTGCATTTTGTGATGCACCCGCGTCCCCTGGGGTGGACATCACCCATGCCCCATGCAGCCGGGGGCTGTGCTTGCTGCTCTCGCTCCGTGCATCCCCACGTTTGTGCTTTTATGTTTCCTCCTGCGCCAGCAAGTGCAAAACTCCAGAGACAACCTGTCAATCTCCATCACATCTGGCTGCCTCGCGTGCTCTATTTATACCAGCCAGGCAAACCTGGAGCTCGGAGTTCAAGGTAACAGGGGTTATTTCTGCTCCGAGTAGCTCCCTTCTCAGGGGAGGAAGGGTTGGAGGCATCCAAGAGGAGCAGCTCCACATCGGGGGCTGGCACCCATCCCTTAAAGGCTCCGTGACATGGCAGAGAGGGACATGGGATGGAGCTTATCAAGCCGCCCCATTGCTATCATTTAGACAGATCTGAAGAAGGAAGGAGGCATTTACACCAAATTAGCACTTGGTGTCACGCGGCCGCAGAGCTTTTCATCTGAACCAAGGGCCCTAAAGCCACATCTATGGTATCACAGCTTCCAGCAGCTCTTCTCAGCCA